ATATCCTGAAAAAAAGTCTTTCCAGATCAATTAGTAGAACTTTTTTCTCAATCAAACTTCATTTCACCTTTACTAGTTTTAAATTGTTCTCCACATGCGTAAAAAACAATATCCCATGACAAGCCACCTCCATGTGTGTCTACCAGTTCACCTACTCCTGTGGAGCAAGTTACATCGGTCATAGCCAGTGATTGCTGCCAATACGTATTATTTTCCTTTCTCTTGGGTTCCTAGTGGAACATACTGCTTCAGTAGCACGTCTCTACTCCACTCTGCCCTCTGCAATCTTTTGAACCTAGCTCCATGATTGCCCACAACCTCTCATTTCTTCCTCACACCATCTCTACCATGTCACTCTTTCCCTGGACACCCAACTTATCGTTTCCCATTTGGATTCCACTCGACAACCTGGCATGGCGCGTGATTTCCCCAATCAGTCTTCTCAGTGTACGCCCAATCCATCTCCACTTTCTTCTGCATACATGTTGGGTGATAGGTTCCCGGTTGCCAGTCAGCCAGAGTTCCTTGTTGTTTATTCTTATTATTCTGGTCATCTCATCGATCTGCAGTATCGAACCAGTGTTGATGCATGTTTATAGTTTGTTGAGAAAGCTTTTCGTAACGCGCCGCCAAGTCTCTGAACCGTCACACAACAATGACTTAACTGACGTAGGTGTTGAAAATCCAGATCTTGTTCACGCTTTGTGCTGAGTGCAGAAGATCTCCACGCTGATTTCAGATAAGTGAAGGAAGGCCTGTCTTGCTGTCTTTCTGATCCTTGTTTTGACATCCTCGTATGTGCTACCACCGACTGTAGTCGAAATGATGCTGCCTTGCCTGGGTAGGTGAAAGAGACTACTTCATTCAGGTTTCTCCCGTTGATAATGACTGATGCTTGTTATTGATGATTTTGTTGGTTGAATATATTCATCACCTCCGTCTTTTCTACATTCACTTAAATTTTCATCTTCCATCACTGCCTCACCTCCCCTGTCAACTTGTTCGCTTTTGCCTGTAGATCGTCGAGTTTGTGCCTTTTGACATTAAATATAAATCATCATCAACGAAATCCAAATCTTGTTCTGTGGTCTTTTCATCGATCCAGCCAGCGTATTTCTATCTTGTCGCTCCTGACGGTTTGCTATATGATACAGTCCACCGCAATCAGGAAGATCATGAGTGGTAGTAAACGGCAGCCTTGTCTTACTCCTGTCTTCTCTTGAAAGACATCACTGAACTTCTCATTGTGGATCATTGTGCATGTGGCGTCGTCGTATAGCTGTTGAGTGAGGTTGATAAAGATTAGTGGTACTCCGTAGTGTTGAGGCATATACCAAAATACTTCTCGGTCGACGCTGTCAAAGGCCTTTTCAAAGTCTATGAAGTTGAGGTAGAGAGTTGATTGCTATTCTATACTCTGTTCTATGACGATGCGCAGCGTAGCCTTGCAATTTGATCCGCACATGATTTGTACTTCCTGAGTCCAGCCAGTCCGTTCCGGTCGTAGTTTTGAATCCAGCGCATTGTTTAGTCTCTCCCAGATGATGTGGCATAACATTTTGCTTGTGTTGGAAAGGAGCATGATTCTGCATCAGTTCTTGCAAAGGCTTAGGTTCCCCTTCTTTAGGATTTTGACAAGGTAGCCCTACTTCCAATTGATCTACAGGTAGCTTTCCTTCCTTCCCAACCTTCCGCTGCAATGGCGTGACCACATCCGTCAACATGTTTACGAGAACATATTCTAGCCTAGTTCTATAAGGATGGAAGGAAATGGATTCTTCAACTTCTAAAATAGTAGAGGCCTAGCCTATTTATGAACTGAAGCCTAATCTTTGTGTGCAAAAGAAGTATGCAAAGTCTCTGTGTTAACCTTATTTCACCTCGGTTTTTTCGTCTTTTTTTCAACTTCCTTCTTTGTTAGACTAATCTTTGTACCATTAGATCGTCATTATTATTTTCAAAAACTCTTACTGTCAATATTCTCTAGTGTTTCTTCATTTAATCTTGCAAATAATCGTAATTTTAAGCAAAATATTTTCAAATTGTCTCAGTTAACTTGCCTTATTCATCTTACCTAATGCTTTGAATGTTTATTAACTCTACCATGTTCTCATCCCATTGTAATCAATTTATATCCTATAAACGATTTAAAAGGCTGGTATTCATCATGAACTGACATCAGTTAGAGGAACACTGCAAACCTGGAAGGGCTGGACAGCTGCTTCATCCCAGTATGAGACTCCTCAGCAGTGAAGATCTTGGGTTCAATCTCTGGCGTGGTCACTGGTATGCATTGCTGGGGACGAAATCTCTGTCCAGTGCTTACAGGCTTCCATTGTCCCTCCGACCGATATCAGTTCATGGTGAACATCAATATGAAATCAATAAATCTTCACAAAACCCCCAAATTGATTTAAAAAGTCTTATTTAACCCTTTTTTAGGTATCATTCAACCTCTATGTCATCAACTAGCAACATTATTATAATTATAACCGCCATTATTATTCTTAATTGAATCTTTCGTTAACTAATTTAAATCTTCCTCACTGCTTAATGTTTATATATATATATATATATATATATATATATATATATATATATATATGAACAGCTTGAGAATAAATTCGTTGGAAAGAGTCCTCTTCTCTAAACATCTTGTTTCGGATGAATAAGAATGGTAAGCCAATGATGTTTCATATGGGCTTTATTGCTTTGTAATAACCGATGTCCGAAATACAACACACATATACATACATATATACATACAGGTTTACATTCATGTATCGTATTTATCATTGCACTATGGTGTGAATGATCAATAACTCTGTTGAAAAACAATCATAATTCGGTCATCATTGGACGATAAGATGAACTATACGATTTTTTTTTTACCTGTTTTAACTACACACTGTATTGTAGATTTACATTATTTCGGTAAAGAAGCTCGGATCAGACTTCTGTGATTTCAAATACGCTGAGATTTACTAGGCTGTAGCTAGTGCGGGGATCCAAGATACGGGTTTCATCCTATTTTAACGGCTGCTTACTTGAATCTTGGGCTACCAAAATTATCCATCGAACATTTTTCATCAAATTCTTTCCCTTCAATTCGTTTAAATCATCTAAATGTGTCCTTTCAATGTTGCACAATTTTTAAACTGTTTCCATCTCTTCGCTTCTCGAGTTCATCACATAGGAGACAAAAGTGTTACGCAATATAGAAATGAACTTTTCGGTGTACAAAAATACATCATTTTTTTATTCGTCAGATGTTTAGCTTCAGTTACAGGTTTTTGTACCGTCTAAATGAAACACCATCACCTAATTTACGCTTGCATTTCTGTTGATTCTTCTTTATGGACCGGATACCCATCCAGAAACAGCTGGCTATTTCACATTATTGTCTTAAATACCGTTATTATCAACATCATTCCGATGAAGTAACCATTTCGTCTGAAAGTATTGTACTTGCAGTGGATTTGTTGAAAAATTACATGCTGAGAATTCCATGCTGTCATACATATTGTTTGGAATAAAGCGATTATCATTATTACTATTATTTAGGACTCGTTAGCTGGGTGTACGTGCACCCCAGTGAATGCTGTTGTTCCCACTGAAACTCGAACCTTATTTTCATCTCTCCAAACGTCGAAGTATTATTCCCTAGGCCACCGAAGTCGAACAATTCTAAACAATAAAACAACGGAGAATTACAAGAATATCAACAAATTGTAATAACTGATACCCGCCGTGCAAGATTTGGCTATCCCTCCCCAGTGGCCTAATGGGTAGCACTTTTGTGTTTGAAGTAATGAGTACGAAGTTTGACTACCAATGGGAACAACCTCATTCAAAAAGGTTCAAGCATATCGAACTTGGAATTCAAAAACAGAAAGTAATCTCCACCTTGGATTCTTGTCATCGCGACAACTAATTAAATTACCATAATGAATATTCGGATGTGCAGTTCGGTGAGCATTTATTTTATCCAACCAACACCACCAACAAGAACAACAAGCCCAAATCACCATCAATGGGAGATACTTAAAGAAAGTAGTCTCTTTCACCTATCTAGGCAATGTAGCATCGTTTCAACTACAGGCGGCACAGACACAGATGAGGGTGTGAAAACCACGATCAGAAAAACAGCGAGACAGGCGCTCATTAACCTGAAATCAGTGAGAAGATCTACTCCACTCCACTCAGCATAAAGTGTGAACAACATCCAGATTTTCAACATCAACCTCAGTCAAGTCAGTTATTCTATGTGATGGTTGAGAAACTTGGTACGTTACGAGAGGCATTTCCAACAATTTAAAGACACATCATCAACAACTGCCTACTCTGGCTTGACACTGAAGCTCAGATGGCCAGAATAATATGAATAAGCAACAAGGAACTCAGGGTGGCTGGCTGGCAACGAACTAAGGAAGCAAGAACCTATCAAGCAACAAATATGGGATGGACTGGATGGGGTATGCACTGAGAAGATCATTCGGGTACATGACGCTCCAGGCTGGGCACTCGAGTGGAACTTAGATGGGAAACGGAGAGTTGATTGACCAAGGAGAGAGTGACATGGAGGAGATCGTGTGAGTAATAAATGATAGGTTGTGGGAGTTATGGAGCCAGATCTTAAAGATTGCAGAGGGCAGAGTGGAATGGAGGCGTGCTTCTGAAGCCGTATGTTCCACTGGGAACCCAAGGGACAATTGAAATATAATAATATAATGGTAAATATTCAGGCATTATAGAAGCATCCTCATAGGGAGCCGATACTTTATCAAATGTCAACTTTTCAATCGGCGCCAAATGTTTATGAAACTATCCAATCAAATCTTGATCAGGTTTCATATAAAAAGCACCTCTATATTAAATCTGAAAATACTAACTACTTTCAGTGACACACACACACATACAGGAGGCCATACGCCAATATTAGTCATCAAATACAGTCCAATCAACAACAAAGACGCATAAGTTATAACATCATTGAAATATACCTCATCAGTGGCATAGCCTCATGTTGTGAACGAAGTAATCAACAAAAATTATATACAATAAATAATACTGTTTATCTTTTGTAAAGTGATATATCAAAAAACTCTTTGATTCACAATTTTAACTTAAAAAATGTTTCACCTTATTTCTGTTTCTCTTTTTTTTTAGAGCAAATCAGTACTATTTTCAGTGGAATGAACATTATTCATAGACTTATTACTGTATTCAATTGTTATATCTGTCTGCCGTACATCATTTAATGGATCCATTTTTGTTCTCCTTGTCATCGGTGATCTATAACTATCCACTTGTTGTTGTTGTTGTGGAGTATCATCATTTGAAATGTTCAATTTATGACATTCAATAATTTCAATAAATGCATTACGAAATGTTCTATTATAAAATGCATAAATAATTGGATTAATAGTTGAATTAAAGTAACCAATCCAAAATAGTATTTCTTGTAGTACACTTGGATATGGACATTTATATAAATTTGTTATAGTATACCATAAAAAGAATGGTAACCAACATAATAAAAATGCTCCCATAACAATACCTAATGTACGTGCTGCTTTACTTTCATGTTTCATTTTAATTTGTGCATTAAATTTCTCCTCTATTATATAAAGATTTCGTGTACTATTGAGATAATCAGTTGAGTATTTACTCTGTTTATTCATACAGGGATTTATGCATAATTTTTCTGTTGATTTGCGCCGTCTCTTGAATATATTCAGCGGTTTAATAGTGATGTATGTTTGCTTGTCTACGGTGTTACCATTATTATTATTATTATTACTATGTTGGTGTGAATGAATTTGTAATTGTGCAATTTTTCTCTCTTGCCTTCTAGCTTCAATAAATATACGTATATAGACTACAACCATAATAATAGATGGTATCCAAAATGAGATTGATGATGATATAGTAGCATAATATGGATTCACGTTGAAATCACATGTCAGTGGATCATCATCATCATCATCATCTTCATCAACTACATTGTATTTCATATCAGTATACCTATGGCTAGTTCGACTTGAAGTAATCAACTTCAATGACTTAGTGAAAGGTTTATGCCATCCCATTAAAATAGGTATATAAGATATAATAAATGACAGAGTCCATGTTAGACATAATAGTACACTGATACGTTTTCTAGACATTTTCATTTCATAATTTAATGGATGAAGTATAGCAATATATCTATCTGTTGATATACAGCATAAATGAAGTATACTTGCAGTACTGAATAAGACATCAGTAGCATTATAAATATCACAAAATAATTTACCAAATATCCATTTATGATTTGATAATGACATGATAGCATTGAATGGCATAACTAATAGAGCAACAATAAAATCAGCAATTGCTAAAGACATCAAGAATATATTTGTACGTACACGTCTTAATCGAGTAAAGCGTAGAAATGCAATAAATACTAAAGCATTACCGAATAATGCTGATATTATGATGATACTATATATAATCCCTTTGATAATCGTAAATATTGTATTCACATGATCAGAGTATTGAATTAAATGCTTATTATTATTGTCATTGTTAGTAGTATCACTTCGATTAATGTCATTATTATGCAATGAATAGATAAGTTTTAAATTAGTCACTTGTAATTGACTGAATAACATTGAATAAAATTGGTTTCTACAATCAAATTAACAGTTTGTATTCAGTAGATGGAATATACTTAGAATCCTTGATGTGATAACACAACTTCATTGGATAATATGAGATGAGATCCATTCAAACTCCAACTGTAGATAAATTTGAAAAATAATACATTTAAAATCATTCCTTGGTATATAAGGTTAAAAGTTATTTAAACACAATTACTGAAAACACTAAACGTTTCATGAGACTGTAGCGCACTTCTACTTATGTCTACAAAGTGCGCATTTTTCGAACCGACGGTTAGAATATTAATGACAGACAGTGGGTAGCAGTGGAATCCAGGATACAAGTTTCATCCCATTTGAGACTCGTCAACCGGATGTGCCTACTTCCCCGAGAACGATATTGTCCCCACCATGATTTCAGCTCCTTACAAACACAAGAGATAATACAAGTAAAAACATACAACAGTCTCTATGCAGAATATTTAGATTATCCTTTATGGAATAAGCAGCAAGATCAAAGTGAATAAACAGGTTTTAAGAAAAGTTTCTTCATGGATATTTTGCACTAACTAATCATGTTCTGTTAAATTAACTTGTCCCATCAAAGGACAGGGGGTAGTCGCATGAACTGACTTTAAGGCTATAACAGTAATCCGTGTTGGGGTCACAACCCAAGCACGGTATTCACTGACTTACTTAGACTAGCAAATTCTAATCTTCGAGTTATAACCACTACTCTTGAAACAGAAGACATCTCGACGACAGGATTTTCTCACGAACAATTGGAATGGTACTGGTTACATATGGTACTCTTTACATTAACGCAGCCATTTGCAAATGTCTTCGTTTCCTCTCCGTTTCTGTCTTGATTTGCTCTTGACCAGCTCTTCATACACTCTTATCAGCAGCATCCTCTGTAATACGCTTGTGTTATCCCCTGCGTTGCTCTTGGCAGAAACCTTATCCATTGCCGGTAATTCTCTATGATTCCTGCCGCTCTCTCGACATATACTACTTATATCCGTCGTTATCAGCAACGCCCACTACACTACTAATATGACAAACCATTTTATTCGTGGAGTATTATATACGCGTTATTTATATGTTAGAATGTTTATTAGTTTTCGAGAGCACAGAACAGTAATTCTGGTTTTTCAAAAACATTTTCAGTGACTGCATAGATGCCTTCAGCTCAGTGAATCAACTGTACCATTTGCATGTCTTAGGCAGAATGGTTACTCCCATCCATGATGGTATCAAGCAATTACGCACAATACAGTTGAATCCATCTTGGCATATTCAACTGCACAGCTTGCAAAATGTATGAATATGAGCAAGATTATCCAACATTACGACACCGTAGCGACAACAGCTAAATAAAAATGCCACGTGCCGAGTGATCCACAATGAAAAGCTCAGTGATGCCTTTGAAGTAAAGACAGGAGTAAGACAAGGCTGCTGTCTACCATCACCCATGATTGTGGTGAACTAGATCATGCAGCAAACCGTGAAGAGCGAGAAGATGGGTATACGCCGCACCGGTGAGAGGAGCCTAGAGCATTTAGATTTCGCAGATGATGATTTAGGTCTAGTGTCATGAGGCACAAACTCGAAGATGTACAGGCAAAAACTTACAAGTTGACAGGGGAGGTGAGGCAGCGATGGAAGATGGAAATTCAAGTGGATGTAGAGAAGACAGAGGTGAAGATAATACCCAACCAACAACAGCATGAATAACAAGCACCAATCACCATGAAAGGGAGAAACCTGAATGAAGTAGTCTCACCTATCTAGGCAATGTAGCATCGTTTCAGCTACAGGCCGCACAGGCACAGATGAGGACGTCAAAGCCGGTCAGGATCGGAAAAGCAAGACAGGCCTTCCTTCACTTATCTGAAATCAATGTGGAGATATTCTGCACTCAGCACAAAGATTGAACATGATCCGGATTTTCAACACCAACATCAGTCAAGTCAATGATTCTATGTGATGGTTGAGAAACTTGGCGTGTCATGAAAAGCATTTCCAACAAACTACAGGTATATCATCAACAACTACCACCTACGCTGGCTCGATACTGAAGATCAGATGGCAAGAATAACAAGAATAAGCAACAAGTGACTGTGGCTGGTGATGAACCAACGAAGCAAGAACCTATCACCCAACAAATATGCGGAAGAAAGTGGAGATGTATGGTATTTCTCATACACTGAGAAAGCCAATCGGGGACATTACGCGCCAGGCTAGACACTCGAGCGGAATCCAAGGGGTAAAACATGAGTTAGTTGTCTGAGTGGAGGGTGACGTGGAGGAGATGATGTGAAGAAGAAATGGAAGCTTGTGGGCAGTGGTGGAGCGAGGTTCAAAAAACTGCAGAGAAGAGAGTGCAATGGAGGCGTGCTACTGAAGCTCTATGTCCCACTAGGATCCCCACGGAAAAATAATAATGAAATAATAAATGATAATCGGCTATTTAGAAAGTGGCTGGCACCGACTTAGTACAATTTCATCACTTTTCATGCAAAATTGCTTTCATCACATCTATAGAGATCATTTCAGAGCAATTTTAGCTGTATTACTACACTTCAAGCAGTACATAAACTTTATTAATGTAGTATAAACTATATGTTACAGAAAGGTTCTATGAGTAGTAAACAAGCAGACTGCCTTCAAGGCTCAGTCACTCTCAAAGCCCATAGTTTCAAGTTGAAATATGAATATCTTGTCCTTACGTCACTAAATATTTTATAACTGATAATTTGTAATCTATTGTCTTATTAATCTAATGTCCAAATATGTATTCATCTTCCGAAGTTAAGGTAAAGCAAATGGTTAACAAACGTAGGCTTCACCTGATACCATTATGATATCAGCGGAATAAAACGAAAGTTTTGTTTCGTTTGAAGATCATCACTGTCAAGGATTACTTTCACTATTATGGATTATGTAACATTAAGCAGCTACGTTTTGGATCAGTTTTAAAGAATAAGCAAAGTATACTCCTACAAGTATAAGGTCTCACTAAGGTCTATGAATAAATGAATTAGCTTTCTGGGAAAAGATGATGAACACTTTGTTTCTTCTGATTCTTTTTTCTGACAAAAAAGAATTTCCATATGATTAGTAGGAAGTTTTTCTCACTATTACTAATGGATATGTAAAGTAGACGGAAAGAAATCTGATAACTATGAAAAACAATACAGAGTTTTTTTTTCACGCATATTATTCATTCTACTTATCAGTGTTTAAAATCAAATGAAACAAAATGAGATTACATTGTCTAGTTTCTCATTATAAGATTTTGTATTATGATATCTGTAGAAATAGGTTTTATTTTAAACTATCTAGGTATACGTTTATAATGATATATAGACAGTCAGATGCATAGATTCATGGTTCAATGTCTTTTTCTGATGTCTTAAAAACATCATCTGAATGTTGTTGAAGGACATGCTGAAAAGAAAAATGAAAAAATTCTTGGAAAACAAGTTTGTATTCCTATTGGTAAAGATATACAGATTACATTTTTAAGGTAGATATAAATATATAATCATATGACATTATTTTATTCAGTTGTTCTGTAAGTGATTCAGAGTAATTGATATGTTTTGAGTCGGTCTCAAATTCAATTTCTTTATCTTATATGCTTTTCATTAGGAGAAAGGTAGAAAACTGAATAACTTTAAACGGGTTCACATTACACATTGATATTAAGTGTAGATTTGTTTAACACTGTTGTTGAGTTGCTCCTGACCGATTTAGTTATTTTGAAAGTTAATATAAGAGTAAAACTTGTGCACTGTCATTTCATTTGTCCCTTGAGTTCTTAGTGGAACATAGGATTCTAACAGCACGTCTCCATTCCACTCTGTTCCCTGTAATCTTTTCAACCTGGCTCCACGACAGCCCACAACCTCTCATTTCTTCCTCACACAATCTCCTCCATGTCACCCTCACCTCGGACGCCCAACTAGTCGTCTCCCATTTGGGTTCCACTTGAGGGCCTGGCCTACTGCATGATGTCCCCAGTCGGCCTTCTCACTGTACGCCTAATCCAGTCCATCTCCACTTCCTTCTGCATATTTGTTGAGTGATACTTTCATGCTTGTTTCCTCGCCAAACAGAGTTCTTGGTTTAAAAGTAGTATTCATCATGGACTAACATCAGTTGGGGAACCATTGAAAATCTGGGAGCACTGGATAGCTGTTTCGTCCTAGTATGGGACTTGTCACCAGTAGGCATCCATAACCCGGCTACTGATCGAACTCAGGACCTTCAGGTTACATGGCGAACGCGTTAACCATTCAGCAACTGGGTCGGTTTCCACTGGTTCACAATTTCCAACTTCTGTCAATTCACGATATAGCGTGACTGTCACCCAAGGTCTTTAGTTAGCATCCACTTCACTTCCGACTGGTCGATCCCACAGGTCATGGCTTCATTGTTGCTTATTCCTTCTGGCCATCTAGTCTTCAGTAACGAGCCAGCGTAGGCAGTTGTTGATGAATATCTTTAGTTTGTTAAAAATGCCTTTCGTAATTCGCCAAGTTTGTGAACTATATAGGAGCACTGACTTGACGTTGGTGTTGAAAATCCGGATGTTGTTCACACTATGCTGAGTGGAGTGGAGTAGATCTCCACACTGGTTTCAGGCTTATGAATGCCTTCTCGCCTTTCCGATCCTAGTTTTGACATCCCCGTGTGTGCCACCACCACCGCCCGTAGTTGAAACGATGCTGCCTAGTTAGGTGGGTATGCAAAAGAGGCTACTTACTTCAAGTTTCTCCCGTTGATGGTGGTTGGAGCTTGTTGTTGCTGGTGGTGTTAGTTGGGTATCTTCATCACCTTTGTCGTCTCTACATTCACTCGAAGTCCCGTCTTGTTCTGCACTATGGTAGAATGTGACTCCATTTTTATTGATTCGTTAGTTTTATCACACAGTGTAACAGTACTGTTTACTGGATTCTTCAGGTTTCACTTCATTAATTGCTACATTGAAGTTAAGCCCCTTCTCTAGCACCTTTACTTCTGCTGAACTTAAAACTATAGTTGAGGGATTGATAACCCACTTTGTTTTATCGTTGGTTGACGATGTGCAGTCGGGAATTTCATTATGTTCTGTTCGATACTTTTCTTTC